TGGGCTGCCAACCAAAAAGGTCAGCAGTTCATGTCCACTGGGAGTTTCTTGGAAGAAGATGGGTAATCTCACGTCAAGGTTTACAGCCTCAGAAACCCAGTGCAGTCACCATGAATGAGTTTGAATCGATGTAGGGGAGATGGGTTTGGTTGGCGTTTTAAGGGGATTCCTTGACTAGGATTTGACTGAGAAACTTGGGCCCTTTAAGATGCTCACTGTGCTGTGGTCCTTTGCCCCCCATCCATACCTGCCTCCTGGGACCAGGCCAGCCGTGTGACTGCCTCCCTCCCCTGAGGGCAGCAGCAGAGCAGCTTCGGCAGAAGGATCTGAAGATTTCCCAGCTGCAAGCAGATCTCCGACGCCCGCCTCCAGCCCCCGCCCAGCCCCCTGAACCCGAGGCGCTGCCTACTATCTATGTTATCACCCCTACCTATGCCAGGTATGGCTCTGGTACCCCCAGGTGGGCTGCATAGACCAAGAGATAGAGGGTGTTTGGGCAGTAGTTTGGGGAGCAGCTGGGCCATGGGATGTTCTTCAAACGGAGCAAATCAAATGGCTGGATAAAGGAAGTACATCTCTGTTTAAAGATTTGGGGAGTGGGAGATGGCTATTTTTCTATTAAGATGGAATAGTGAGATTTTAAGGAAATTTCCAGCTTGCTTGTGAGTGTATACTCTGTCCTGAGGGACCCTTTGGCTAGGAAGATAGAGAACATTGAAGTTCAACTAGAAAGGGGTTTGACCTTTCTGATGTTGTTGTTGTTATTTGCCGTCGAGTCGCTTGCAACTCATAGCGACCCTATGTACAACAGCCCTAAACCCTGCTCTATCCTGTGCCAATCTCACTGTCTCTGACACACTTAACCCCATTACCCCAGTCACTGAATCAATCCACCTCATAGAGGGTCTTCCCCTCCTGCGTTGTCCCTCCACCCTCCCAAGCATGATGTCCCTCTCCAAGGACCCGTCCCTCCTTACAACATGTCCAAAGTATGTCAGAAGAAGCCCCAGAATCCTTGCCTCCAAGGAGTAACCTCGTTTAACCCTCTCCAGGATGAATCTGTTTTCTTGGCAGTCCATGGTACATTCAATACTCTTCTCCAGCACCACAGCTCAAAGGCATCAATTCTCCTTCTATCCTCCCTAGTCATTGTCCTACTCTCTGATGCATAACAAGTGATTGCAAAGACCATGGCCTGTATCAGACGCACCTTAGTCTCCAGAGAGACACCGTTGCTGATGTAGGAAGGTCTAAAAAGGGTGGTTTTGTTGTTGTAGATGCTGTTGAGTTAGTTGGCTTGGAAGTCATAGTGACTCCACATACAATAGAATGAAACACCACCCAGCTCTATGCCATCCTCAGAACCACTGCCGGGTTTACATCTGCAGGCCCTGTGCTAAGGGCCTTATGTTAAAAAGAGAGAGAAAGAAGGAGAGGGAGAGTGTGTGTGTGTGTGTGTGTGTGTGTGTGTGTCTCACTTCATTACAGATAATAACAACTGGCCAGTGTGGCTTTAGATCTGTAGCCAAAAGGGTTGTGTACTAACGCATCTTCTTGGATTCAGCTGACTAACCTACCCTCGCATGGGAGGCTGCAGACCACCCTGGTGCTCCTTCCCCACTCCAGGGACAGACAGGCAGATCTGCAGGGTAAAGAAGCCCAGGAGAGGCCAAGCCGCATGTTCCCAGTTCATTCTCTAAACTCAGCTACATCATTCATCCCTTCCTGCAGAGGACTGAGCCTCCTGCCTCCTCGAATACAAGTCTCCCACATACAGTGGTGGAACGGCCTGGTCCTCGCTGCTGTCCTTGAACATCATTCTCTCGTTTAATCCTTCCAACACTATAACATTTCTGCTTTGTTTTGTTGGATGCCGTGGAGCCGTGGAATGAGTTTGGAATTACAGCCAACCCACATGACAAGCGTAGGTCTGCCTAAAGGGTTTCCTAAGGTGTCATTTTTATAGAAGGGAGCTCTGGGGGGCCGAATGGTAAAGAATTGCACCACAAATTCAAAGGCAGTTGGTTCAAATCCACCAGCTTCTCTGTGAGAGAAAGATGAGCAATCTCTGATCGTGTCATTTACAGCCTCTGAAAACCCATTGGAGGCTTGCCTATAAGTCAGTTCTGATTCGACAGCACACAGAGTGATCTACAGAAACGGCTAGGTCTTTTTTTACCGAGAAGCCTCTGGGTGGGTTTGAACAATCAACCTTTTGGTTCTTAGCTGAGTATTTGACTCTTGCGCCACCACAGTGCCCTATTCCCATGTTGTTATTGTGTGTCCTTGAGTCGGAACCAACTCATAGCTGACCTTCCAGCAGGTTTTCAGAAGCAGTAAATTGTATGGGAGAGGGGAGCTCTGATGGCCTAGTGGCTAGAAGCTGCACTGCAATCCCAGAGGTACAGAGTTTAAATCCACCGGGTGCGCTGCTGGAGAAGGAGGGGCAGTCTCCTCCTGTACCAGTCAGATCCGATTTGGCGGTACACACACAAAAAATAATAATAACTTAAAAAAAACTGTATGGGAGGAGGTTGCCCATCCTCCCAAGGAGCAACTGGTAGATTTGAACCCGGTGCCTTTGGAATTGCAATGCAGCATCTTAGCACTAGGCCACCAGCACTCCCTTATTCTATGTTGTAGTCAAGGAAATTGAGAGTTAAGGGGAGTGAGCCATTTTGTCAAGGCATCTCATCAAGTAGGTTGCAAAGCTGCAATTCAAATCCAAAGCCGAGAGATTCCAAAGACGGTGCTTTTAGCTTAGAATCTCTCTCTCACAGCCAAGCCTAGGGTTGAAGTGGGTGAGGAAGACTGGAGGGCCAGGCCAGGTAAGTGTCAGTGGGCAGCTTGGGGGCCAAGCCATGGAGGTGCTTAAAGGGACCTGGGAGAAGCCCCATGTCTCAGCTGGATGGCATACGGGACCCGCTCATCTTTCCCCCGCAGGTTGGTGCAGAAGGCGGAGCTGGTACGCCTGTCCCAGACACTGAGCCTGGTGCCCCGGCTGCACTGGCTGCTGGTGGAGGATGCTGAGGGCCCCACCCCACTCGTCTCCGGGCTGCTGGCTGCCTCTGGCCTCCTCTTCACACACCTGGTGGTCCTCACCCCCAAAGCCCAGCGGCTTCGGGAAGGTGAGCCAGGCTGGGTTCGACCTCGTGGTGTGGAGCAGCGGAACAAGGCCCTGGACTGGCTCCGGGGTGGAGGGGGTGCTGTAGGTGGGGAGAAGGACCCACCTCCCCCGGGGACCCGGGCAGTCGTGTACTTTGCTGATGATGACAACACTTACAGTCGGGAGCTCTTTGAGGAGGTGAGCACTAGGGTGGGGCTGGGGATGGGCTGGGGGAGGTCAGGTGGAGGCAGCTTTATCTGTTGCCTTGGTGACCAGTGTTGGTGGCTGCTGGGAAAGGAGCAGCGGGGGGGGGGGGGGGAGAGCAACCTCCTATTGGGCCACCTTGTCTCTCTTCTCTGCTGACTTTCAGATGCGCTGGACCCGTGGCGTTTCAGTGTGGCCCGTGGGGCTAGTGGGTGGCCTGAGGTTCGAGGGCCCAAGGGTCCAGGATGGCCGAGTTGTGGGCTTCCACACGGCGTGGGAGCCCAACAGGCCCTTCCCCATGGATATGGCAGGATTTGCTGTCGCCCTCCCCTTGCTTCTGGCCAAGCCCAGCGCCCTGTTTGATGGGACTGCTCCACGGGGCCACCTGGAGAGCAGTCTCCTGAGCCACCTTGTGGATCCCAAGGACCTGGAGCCTCGTGCTGCCAACTGCACGCGGGTAAGGGCCGGACGCAGGCTCCCAAACCAGGCTCTGGGATGGGTTGGTGATGAGAGTGGCAGGAAGCCCAGAGTGCAGGGCCCGGGGATAGAGTTGGACCAAGGAGCACCTTCAGGATCTCCGATGCAGCCTTGCTGACTTGAAGGTGAAGCCGGGAACCAGGGAGGGAAAGTGGCCTCCTGCCACCTGTCTTCCAGAGTTTAAGAAGCCCAGTGGCACAGAGAGGGCAAGGGCCCGATGAGGAGCCAGTCTGGTGACACCACAGCCTTCCTGCCCTGCATGTGTAAAAGGAATGGGGTATCTTCTACACTGCGGGCTCTGGCCGGCCGTGCTCTGACGGAAACCCTCCCAACACAGGTGCTGGTGTGGCACACCCGGACAGAGAAGCCCAAGATGAAGCAGGAGGAGCAGCTGCAGCGGCAGGGCCGGGGCTCAGACCCAGCTATTGAGGTGTGACGCTGGCCACACACCAAGAGCTGATGACCACCTCCTCACAGCCGTGGACCACATAGGACTGGGCATCTGGCCTGCCCAGGCTGTGGCTTTCCAAGTCCTGATCCCTCAGCGCCTGTGGCCCCTCTGCCTCTCCAGCCCCAGGGTGTGGTCCTGTGGCTTCTCCTTTCCCCCTGCCTGCCAAGTGGTCCTGCCCACGGGCTGGGGACAAGTGGCCCTTGTACTGAGCCAGGTCAGCCACGTGGGGCAGAGCAGAAGGACAGATGGACTCAGGAGGGAGGGCTGCTGAGTAATGGGGTAACTTATTGGGGCTGGGCATGCACTGGGGGGGCTGGAGGAGCTGGGCTGGACCCTCCCACCTCAGCATGCTGACCCCCCCTCCTACCTCCGGAATAAAGAATCTCAATCTGGGAGAGCCCGTCTTTCCTTCACTGGGCGTGCTGGATTTTTGCAATCTTATCTCACCTCTTCACCTGGGCTGAGCTAGGAGGCCTGGCTTTTCTGACAGACATATGTGAGTTCCTCAGGGTCCCCACCCGGCCTCGAAGAGAAGGACAGTGACTTCAGTCTCCAAGCTTTATTGAGTTCATGTTCTCCACTTCCTCCTGAGCCCTTTCCCGGCATTCCATTCTCCAGTGGTCTGCCACGTCCACTCAGTACACTTGGTCGAGCTGGCTGACTACCCTCCCCCTACTAATCCCAGGGACCCCCACTGGGAGGCTTGGTAGAGGGTTGTGAGGTTTCTAGACTTGCCCCCACCTCACTCTAAGCTCTAGGCCACTAGGTCTCAGGCGGACCCTCCTGAGGAGGGCCCTCAGGTGGGGTCTCCTCAGGGGCTGGTCTGGGGGCTACCCCCCCCTGTTGCCAGGCTGCCTTCAGCATGTCTTTCAGCCCCGCAGGAAAGAGATAGCCCTGGGCCTCTCCTTCCCCATCAATAACCCCGCCGAGCCCCTCCAGCGCTGTCTGCAAGTACCGTAGGCCCAGGAGCACCAGAGCCTGCGAGGGGAAAAGGGAGGGACAGAGAGAGATCAGCGGGTTGGCAATCCCAGGAGGATCCAGGTTGCAAGGGGTCCCAGGTGGATGGGGGCCGGTTGAGGAATCTTTGCTGACTCACCTGTAGCAGGGAGGTGACAGCCAGTGTGCCACCCAGGGTACTCGCCAGCCCTTGCAGGTACACCAGCAGCACCTCATGACACCCTGGGGCCCAGAGGTTTAAGTTGGGCTGCCGGGGATCAAAGATGGGGTGAGCATGGGGATCTGAGAGCCGGTTTTGCAGGCAAGGCCGGGGTGAGTGGGGGTTGCAGCAGGAAAAGGGGACCCCATCAATCAGGTAGAGGCCTTCCACGTTGCTCTGGATCCGACTGCAAAGTGAGAGGGGCGTGTTAGGATGGGGAAGGGCAGAGGACGGGGAGAGAAGAGACATCAGAGCAGGGAAGGGGCACACCTACTGACGGCTCTCCTCTGTGCCTGGCATGCACGGCTCATTGATCTCTACGGCAATCCTCAGCGTCCAGACAACCTGCTGCCATTCATTTAAAACCACCCCATGGGATAGAGCAGAGCCCTACGGTTCTAAAGGTTTAAATCGTGGAAGCTAACTGACTTGCTCCGCAGGAGCGACAAGAGAATTCAAACCCCTTTGTGTTTAGATGTCTGACATTAATCCACCATATCACCCAGGATCCTTCCTCTGCTGTGACCCAGACTATTAGTTCCATTTTATAGATTAGAAATGGGTCCCATGGGTTTGGTACCATGCCTTGAGGACAGGATCAGTAAAAGGCAGAGCTGTAACCTGGTCTAAGCACCAGGTGCTTATTCTTGTCCTTTGGGTTGATGGTGTTAGCAGGTAACAGGAGGGAAGGGAGGCTGGGGCCAGGTAGAGAAGGTGGAGAAGCCAAGCACTTACTCAGTCACATCTTGGTCATTAGGATCCAAATAGCGGTTGCTGACCCACTGGACCACAAACCAATCCTTATAGCTATGGCGCCCGCAGCAGTGATGTCTCAACTGCAGCTCATCCACCAGTCGCTTAGAGTGACAGTGCCCTGGCACCTCTGTATCCTTGTAATGAGTCAAGGCGGCCCCCAGGCCTTCCTCCAGCCCTGAGTCCAGGCTCCCAGGCAAACCCAGGGCCAACCCCAGAGCCAGAAGCAAGAGGCCACCGCCCACGACTGCACCGGCCAGCAGCAGTGGGCTCAAGACTTCTCTCCAGGGAGGGTACCGAGCTGCGTCCAGGCTTGCCCGGCTGGCTCCTGCACTCACCAGTCCTGTAACCAGAGCCACTGCCCCCGCTGCCAGTGCCACCTGGGGCAGGCTAGGGAACGCGCAGGAGGGAGCCAGGAAGGTACGAAGGGGCCACAGCTGGACCAGTAGGTGGCCGCTACAGAGGATGATGAAGCCACTGGCCAGTGCCAGCAGCCAGGAGAGGAGCCAGAGCCCCTGTGCCAGGCGGATGCGGGGCTGCAGGGGCAGCACCAGGGGCAGCACCGGTGCCATCTTCCATCTCTGCCCGAGGGAGTGCAAGTCTGTCGGGGCTGGGGTTGGCCGGGCCAGATGCTGAGTCAGCGACGCTCGGCTTGAGCTGGGCTAATGCCACTCTGACCCCAATACCCTGGCCATCCTCGGCTCCCAGACTTAATAACTCCGCGCGCGAGGAGCCCTGCCAGTCCCAATTCGGGATGCCTTGGCCTTGCCCCCAAGGACAAGCCCCGCCCCCGGGCAGAGGGCCTAGTTCGTGACCCCGCCCCTGCCCCTCGCGGAAGTTGGGGGGGCTGCCCGGCTCAGTCCCAAGGGCTCAGGACCCGGGGTGGAGACTCCCCAGGGAGTTCGGGGGGCGGGGATCCCGGAAGGGCCTGGAGGGCGGAGGCCGGGCGGGGTGAGGGGGTCAGCGGGCTGCCCCGCCCCGGCCAAGGCCCGGACAGGGAGGGGTTACCAGCCAGTCCGCCCCCCCCACTCCGACCCGCCCCCCTCCCGCGCTTCCTGGCGGCTCGGCGTCCGGCGCCTGTTTGTGCTGCGGCGCTGGGGCCCGGGACCGGCCCGCCGCCCACCCCCGGGAGCCGAGCGTCCCTCGGGAAAGCCCGAGGCCCCGGCGGGCCCTGCGACTCCGGCCCCCGCCCCATAGCGCCCCCTCCGCCCGCTTGCCCCTCGCCCGACAGCGCCCCCGAGGGTGGCACGGCGCCCTGCGCGCGCGCCCCAGGGTGCTTCCCCTTCCCCTCTCCCCGGCCATGGTCCCCGCGGCTTAGACGCCTCCTCCGCCGCCGCCGCGCGGAGCAGCCCGGGCGCCGGATGGACGGAGCCGCGGGGCCCGGTGAGTACGAGGCGGGGCGGGCGGCGTGCCCTCCCCGAGCGCCCAGCCCGTCGGGCGCTGCCAGTGCGCGACCGCTGCCCGATGGCGTCCCCGCGTGCTCGTCCGCCCCGTGGGCGCTGAGCATCTCCCCCTGCACGTCGGCTGCTCTGCCTAGTTACTCGAGTCCTCCTGCTGTCATTTCAAACTTGCCCTACGTCGCTGAACCCCCGCGGTCACTGTGGGCGCCTCAGGGGTTCCTGCTCGCCCCCATGCTGCTCTGAGCCTTTTCTGGTGTTTCGGGTCAGTTCTGACCCCCCCCCCCCCGTAACTCTTGGACCTTCATCCTGTCCCTGTTTTCCACAGATAACTCTGTCCTGTCACCCCGGGTCTCATCCCCGGCGCTCTGGGTCCCTCGGTGTGACTCTGCTCTTGGGCTCCCTTCCCTGGAGCCCTTGGTTTCTTCCGCGGGGAGGAGGGGATCCTGTCATTTGCCCCCCCCCCACCAGTCCTGCACCTCTCCATGGTTCCACGTTCCTCGGCAGTACTCCATATTTTCCCCTGGTACTCCATGGTACTCCCGTCTTCCAGGAGGCTCAGAAGGCAGCAGGAAAGGAGTTTTGCCAGGTTCCTTGCCTGGCCTGCCAGACGGAGGCCCTTGATCCGCTACCACCCCGTCTCCTCCCCTCTGGGCGAACCTCCAAGCCTGGGGCTGTGTGAAGGGGGCGCCTTTGCAGAACATGCATGCGCCATGGGGGAGACAGCCCCCTCAGCCTTCCTGCAGGTGCGCTCCGAGTGATTCGCGCCCCGTTCCCAGGTGAGGGCCCTGCTCCGGAGGCCCTGCAGGCCCTGAGCCGGCGGCTTCGGGTGCAAGAGGAGGAAATGGAGCTGGTGAAGGCGGCCCTGGCAGAAGCCCTCCGCCTGCTTCGCCTACAGACGCCCCCTGCACCCCTGCTGGGCACGGTCCCACCTGTTCCCTCCAGGGACAGGTATGCATGTCAGCCCACCTCCTGCCTTCTTCCTGGGTCCTCTGAGAGCATCAGCTTGACTTGTCGTTTCCCCGGCAGCGCCGCAACAGCGCCCCCAGGACTGCCCCCCACTTGCAGTCCCTCCTTGGTGAGCCGAGGCACCCAGACAGAGGCGCTGGAGATCCCATCCCCTGGACTCCCGGGCCTGAGCAATGGGCCGCAGCCTCCTCAAGAGGGCAGTGAAGAGCCTGGTGGGACTCAGTTTGAAGGAGGAGGGGGCAGCAGCAGCAGTGGCACCGGCTCCCCTGGCCCCCCGGGGGTTCTCAAGCCCGTGCAGCCCCCACAGCGCACTGACACGTAGGTGGCCTGTGGCAGAGGCTGGGCCAAATGGGAGCATTGAGGAATTCGAGTGGAGGAATGACAGTGACCCTTGCCTCCTCCCTATGCCTCCACTAGGCCAAGGAGAAATTCTTCCTCCTCCTCATCCCCCTCGGAGCGGCCTCGGCAGAAGCTCTCCCGGAAGGCAGCGTCCTCAGCCAACCTGTTATTGCGGTCAGGAAGCACAGAGAGGTGGGCGAGGCTCCCCCAGCGCCCCGCCCCATGCTTACTCAGGCTGACTTTCCACAGCTCTCACCTCCCTGCCCTAGGCAGGGTGTGGGACCTCAAAGCCCAACAGGAAGAAAGGAGTGAACACTCGTGGGGCGCCTGCTGTGTACCCTACACTGTGCCAGACCTACCCCATCTCATTCGGTCCCCCCAGCATCCTTGGGTTAGGGGATAGGTTTCATTCTGCCAACAGGTGAGAGAGTAGTCAGAAAGGGTCAGTCATTAGCCTGGGGTCACACAGCGAGAGCCAGGATGTGAAGTCAGCTTTCTTGACTCCAGTTCCTATGCCTTTTCCGCCATATCCCAACACACTATCCAAGATCCCAAGAGGCTTTACTGGCAGCTTCTGTGCTTTTTTCAGCACCCAAGTCTACCAACTTTTACTTCCAGAGGGGACTTCTGGTGGCTCTGGGAAGGAGGTGTGCTGCCATCCCAAAGGCAGACAGTTCGATTCCACTAGCTGCTCATTGGGAAAAGGGCAATTTCCTTCTGTGTGATTTAATGCCTCTAAAAACCCACTGGAGGGTCAGCTATGGTTCCAACTTGAAGGCATGCGATAGGTCCCTGCCCCAGGACACTTGTGTTTTTGTTTACGTCTCATCCCTACTTCTTCCTTTATTTTCCAAAAAGAGGTGATACCTTTATTGTCATCCAATGATAGTGATCTCTGGAATGCACCTGTCACTTTTCTGAAATGTAAGGACTTTCTTGCTTATGTCCCTGATCCCTGATAGATAGATAGCGCTAATGTGCTTTCTGGATTCACCTTGGTCCGATTTTACAGATAAGAAAGGAAAAGCATGTGATACACTAGAGGGCCTGTGACCTGGAGAAGAGGTTTTGAACTAAGAAGCAGAAAGACCTCCTGACATCCTGCATGGCCTCTTTCGAGCTTTGCACCACTCTACCCCTTCAGCCTCTATGTTCTTATCTCTTAAATGGGGCTCAGAATCCCCACCCCACCGGTAAACACAAGTTGCAAACTAAAAGCCTGCAGAGGGCCCGTGCTTTATGGAGTGACCTTTCTTATGCTCTTACTTTCTCTCAGCTCTTGAAATCTAACCCCAATTTCTGTGCTTTTCTCTCTTCCCAACAGCCGTGGGGGGAAAGATCCCCTCTCCAGCCCCGGGGGCCCTGGATCTAGGCGAAGCAATTATAACTTGGGTATGTAAAGGGGAACTGGGATGAGGGTTTTTAGGATTTGGACTGAGGTTTGGTAAATTATAGGAAGTCCCTGAGGGAAGCTCTGGTGCCCTAGTGGTAAGAATCTTTGCTGCAACCCTGAAGGCACACAGTTTGAATCCACCAGCTGCTCCGCAGCAGAAGGACGGGCAATGTCCTCCCTTGTGATTAAACTGCCTCTGAAAACCCACTGGAGGGTCAGCAATGGGTCGGTTCTGACTCAGTTTGTGCTGGCACACAACAACAGCAGGAGGTCCCTGAGTGGCACAGTTTGCAATTATCTACTAACATGAAGGTTGGTGGTTCGAGCCCATGCATCAGCTCCATGGAATAAAGGGCTTATTGGTCTTCTGTAAGGATCACAGACAAGAAAACTCTGTGGAGCGATTCTATCATGTAACGAACACACGGGCTGCCATGAAGCAGAATTGACTCGATGGCAAAGAATTTTGTGGAGTTTTTTTTGGTGATATTTGGGGTCAGCGGTGTACTCTGGCTTTCCTGGAAGAGAGGCTGCAGGGAGGTGGCTGACACCTGCCCCTTTTCCTCTGTAGAGGGCATCTCAGTGAAGATGTTCCTTCGAGGGCGTCCTATCACCATGTACATCCCAACTGGCATCCGCAGCCTTGAGGAGCTGCCCATTGGCCCACCCCCGGAGACCCTCAGCCTTGACTGGGTGTATCCTGCACCTTGAGTCCCATGGAAAGGATCATCTTTCCCCCTCCCCCCCCCCCGACCTTGTCCTTCTCCCCGCCTCCTTCTTTATAATGACCTCTGGGTCCATGGGGATGGGAACCCTCCAAATCCTCCTTCTGCCCATGGTGCTGCCAGCCTGGAGCGCTGGCCTCTCCTTTCTGCCTTACCTTGCCTTTGCTAGGACCCTTTCCTTGACCTTGATTCTCACCCCAGTTATGGGTACAGGGGCCGTGATTCCCGCTCCAACCTCTTTGTGCTGCGCTCTGGGGAGGTCGTCTACTTTATTGCCTGCGTAGTGGTGCTTTATCGGCCTGGGGGAGGCCCTGGGGGCCCTGGAGGAGGTGGCCAGAGACATTACCGGGGACATTCGGACTGCGTTCGATGGTGAGGGGCCTGGAGCCTGGGAGTGGGCAGCTGCAGGCAAGGGGCAGGTGGTGAGCTTGGCAAGAAGGAGGTCTGGGCTGGTCATCAGAACGAGAGAAGAGTGTTACTGCTCTCAACCATGGGGAAGAGATTCCTTCAGTCAGCGGGTGTCCTTCCCACTTAGCCTTGCTGTTCATCCTGATGGTGTCCGCGTAGCCTCAGGACAGACCGCAGGAGTGGACAAGGATGGAAAGGTGAGGCACCAGGCAGACAGGGTGGAATGCCAGCCCAGCTGCTGCCCACCCCCCGACTGGACCCCTCCTCATCTCCTCCCTCTCTCCTCCACCAGCCTCTGCAGCCCGTGGTCCATGTGTGGGACTCGGAGACACTGCTGAAGCTGCAGGAGATTGGACTGGGGGCTTTCGAGCGTGGTGTGGGGGCCCTGGCCTTTTCAGTCGTGGTAAGCTGGGCCTAAAGCCTCTAAGACTCCCATCTTCCTTACCCAAGAACCCTCTCCTGTCCATCACCAGGAAGGCCTAAATTTTCCTGAATCCCACCCTGCTGCTTCTGCCAAGAGAAGTACAAGTATCAGCTTCCTCTTCCTTCTGGACCTGTGCAGGCGCCCCCAGACTACCGACCATGGGCCCCCAAGTTCCTAGGCTTCACCCCAGCCTGTCCATTTGTCCCCCACCCCCAGGATCATGGTGCTTTTCTTTGTGTGGTGGATGATTCTAATGAGCACATGCTGTCAGTATGGGACTCCAGTCGGGGCACGAAGCTGGCTGAGATCAAGGTGCTGAGCCTGGGTAGCTTGAACGGGGTCTCTGAGGCTGGGGAGGTGGGCATGCTGTATCAGAGGACTCGTCTCCTAATCTCTCTGAACCTCAGTTTCTTTATCTGTACAATGGGACTGTAGGAGTGCTGACCTCTTAAGGGATAGTATTTTAGGTATTTGGATGATTAATAGCGGCTGGGATTAGTGCTGTTAGGGGACCAGGGTCTTGTCTGAGGACTTCTGCAGACTAGCTGTCAAGAGGCAGATTGAAGGAGTCACATGGGACAAGGCTTTTCAGGGCTCAGGGTGGCTGAATGTAGTGTGTTCCCTTTAGAGTACAAATGACTCAGTCCTGGCCGTTGGCTTCAGCCCTCGTGACAGCAGCTGCATCGTCACCAGTGGGAAATCTCACGTCCACTTCTGGAACTGGAGTGGTGCCACCGGGGCTCCTGGGAACGGGACCCTCACTCGGAAACAGGGTGTCTTTGGGGTGAGGCGTGGGTGTCCATGAGGAGGTGGGGGAGGGTAGATGGAGACGGCAGAGCTGGACTTGGGGGCTGTGGATCAGCGCTACCCCACCCTGCTCCTGTCCTGTGCCTTTGAGCCCCGTTCTCTGACCTCAGCTCTCTGTTCCCCCTTCCAGAAATACAAGAAACCCAAGTTCATCCCTTGCTTTGTGTTCCTCCCGGATGGAGACATTCTTACTGGGGACTCAGAGGGAAATATTCTTACCTGGGGGCGGAGCCTCTCAGATGCCAAGACTCCAGGCAGGGGTGGGGCCAAAGGTATGTGGTTGGGGGTGATTTCTTGAAAGCCTAGTGGGCCAAGAGGGACAGAGGAGAGAGCTTCCTATCTTCCCAACTTTAAGGCTTCATAGTTCTGACTGGAGTATTCTGGAAAAACTATGGGGGGCTGGTTTAAGGGTTGGGGTAGCATGATAAAAGGAATGTGCTGGGATTTTTGGCATTTACCAGCTACTGGGTTCAAATCCTACTTGTGCTGCTCGTTCTCTGGAGTTCAAATCCTAGTTCTGCTACTCGTTTTCTGGAGATTATGAGGAGATACTTCACTTTTTGAGCCTCAGTTTTCCTGTCTGTAAATTGGGGGAATAGTAGCCATGTTAGCAGCTGCTAGGATCAGACTCAACAACTGGGAGTTCTTCCCTTCTGTTGTGATGGCTGAGGTGGCCCCTGCTCTGCACCTAGCAGCATGACCCACTTGGGGCTTTGCCAACAGAGACCTACGGGATAGTGGCCCAGGTCCACGCTCATGAGGGCTCCATCTTCGCCTTGTGTCTCCGGAGGGACGGGACAGTGCTGAGTGGCGGTGGGCGGGACCGCCGGCTGGTTCAGTGGGGGCCCACGCTGGAGGCCCTCCAGGAGGCGGAGGTAAAGGCTGGGCTGGGAGGGCAGGTGGGGATGGATCCCTGAGCCCTGACTTTCTGACATCCTTCGGCAGATCCCTGAGCACTTTGGGGCTGTGCGGGCCATTGCTGAGGGGCCTGGCTCTGAGCTGCTTGTGGGGACCACGAAGAACGCATTGCTGAGGGGAGATCTGGCCCAGGGTTTCTCCCCAGTCATCCAGGTTGGAGGGCCAAGGGCTCGCTCGGGGGTGGGGAGAGTGGGGTGCAAAAGGTTGTTGGAAAGGGGCCAAGGTGACCTCCTCGTGCCTGCCGCAGGGCCACACCGATGAGCTCTGGGGCCTCTGCACACATCCATCCCAGAACCGCTTTCTCACCTGTGGACATGACCGGCAGCTCTGCCTGTGGGATGGTGAGGGCCACGCACTGGCTTGGAGCATCGACCTCAAGGTAGAGCCCTGTTCCCCTGAATCCCCTACTCCTGATTCCTGAGGCACCCCTCATTCCCCAAGATCCTCGTTTCTTCTGCTCATAGTGGTGGCCAGGTTGAACTGGTCTAGCCCACCTGGCTCTTACGGTATTAAGTCTTCTGCATCGGTTGTTATAAGCTGCTGCCCCTAGTTTCCCGGCCTCTCCCCTCCAGGGATCTTTAGACCTCCCCCTCATCTACCCACCAGGTGGTTACTCTTTTGCCCGGCCAGGAGGCCTCAGTGACATATTTTGAGTACACCCCTTGTTTAGGCTCCAGTGATTCCTCTGTTCCATCCCAAATGTGGTGTCCCTTTCCTCCTGATCTCCTTGCGAGGAGGCAGCTCTGACAGGCCATCCATCCTGGTTCCTTCACTTGAATTCACCTTCTCTCCCTTCTAGGAGATTGGCCTCTGTGCTGACTTCCACCCCAGTGGGGCAGTTGTGGCCGTAGGTCTAAGCACAGGGAGGTGAGAGGGAGCTAAGAGTCCTGGGAGGGAAGCAGGGAGGTCGGGGGAGGCTCTGGGAATGAAAGCGGAGGAGAGTGGTACCTGCTCAGGAGCCTCAGATGACCAACCTTCCTGCTGCTCAGTCCTTCCTGCAGCCTGGGCCTCCTCTGCTCCTGGGGTTACTGTTTTCCCTTCCCCCCGCTGGGAAATGGAGATGAATGCAATCCAGAGTAGAGAAGCTGGGAGGCATGGAGGAGAGACAGACCCTTCTGGTGGGCCCCTGGTCTAGATTCTGGACTTCTTTCAGAGAGAACCTTTCCGCCATTCTCACTTCCCAGCATTAGAATATAATGGTGAGTCCAAAGTAGTGGACCACATGAACATCAGCCTCTGCTGGCCAGAGACTGGGATTGGATAGTGCTGACCACTCTAAAAGGAATGACAAGGGAGCTCTGGTGGCCTAGTGGCAGGAAGGTGCACGGCAATCCCAGAAGAACTGTGCGTTCAAATCCACCAGATGCTCTGCTGGAGAAGGAGGGGCAATATCCTTCTGTCAGATCCAATTCGACGGCACATACACACACAAAATAATAAAGTAAAAAAATTTTTTTAAAAAGGATGACAGTAGAGGGTGCTGGACAGAGTGAGGAGAAATGTGGAACAGAGCTCCAAATAATAAAGATCACCATGCTTGCTGATCTCAAATAGACTGGTGGAAGAGATTGTGGCACTTAGTAACCTTTGAGGCTCACCCCTGTGTATCACCTTTCAGGCAAACAGTAGGCTTATAAGGTGAACAGTGCCACCAAGGGGAGGGGGAAGAAGGTAGTGAGAAGCCTCTGGACTTCTCTGAGGGTTCCCAGTTTCCCAACCCTGACCCTTCCCTGGCATAGGTGCCTGGGTGTCTTCTCACACTACATCCTTTCCAGGTGGCTGGTTTTGGATACAGAGACCAGAGAGATCATGTCGGACGTCACCGATGGCAATGAGCAGCTCTCAGTGGTCCGCTACAGCCCAGGTAAGAGCCACCCTACCTGGGCCCCAGATCCCTCCTGGTCCCTCTGTCTCTGAGTGACTATCTTTGCAGATGGGATGTATCTGGCCATTGGTTCCCATGACAACATGATCTACATCTACAGCATTTCCAGTGATGGTGCCAAGTCTAGCCGATTTGGCCGCTGTGTGGTGAGGAAGCTGGGGTAGAGGGTGGGGCATTGTCACAGCAGATAAGACTGGCAGAGGTCTGATGTCTCGAGGGGACTCTGGGGACAGAGAAATGGTGGCTACATTGTAAACCACTTAACCCTTGTTTGCAGGGTCACTCCAGCTTCATCACTCATCTCGACTGGTCCAAGGATGGGAACTTCATCATGTCCAATTCTGGGGACTATGAGATTCTTTACTGTGAGGGGCAGCATGGGAGGGTGTGGGGAGAGGGTAACTGGAGTGCATGTGACTTGTGTGGAGGTGGGGGTTCCTCATTAGGAGGTGATGATAAAGGGTGAGATAAAGGATGCGCCAAGCTAAGGGGTGGTCAGATAGGGAGGTAGAGATGAGTGTGAGATGGGGACAGTACTACATGGGAAAAATTTATGATAGAGAAAAAGTTTTATACATATCTTGTTCCCACAAGGACTTGAGGGAGTTGACAAATAATGCACTAAGATAGATTCTTTTGGATGTTTTTCAGGACGGGGCAGAGGGGTTGAGGTGTCTAATATAAGTTACAGAGGAGAAGCTGTAAGAACTCAGAAGCTGGAGGGTTGGGGAGGGTTGCTCTGGACAGGGTGGCCGCTGCCATAGTGACTAGACCATGCTCCACCGCCTCAGGCCAGTCTTCCCAACCTGGACTTCAGGGCAGAGTGCGCTGGCTGGCCTGGGGGGCAGGCGAGGCTGAGCTGGCTGGGCTCCTCTTCCTAGGGGATGTGACTGCGGGCTGCAAGCTCCTGCGGAATCGCTATGAGAGCAGAGATCGCGAGTGGGCCACCTACACCTGCGTGCTGGGCTTCCACGTCTATGGTGAGCAGGGGCGCGGGACCTTGCGGGTGTGGGGGGAAATCAGGTGGGGCTAGCCCCAGGCTGGGAATGCCTGTCGAGGGGCAGGAGTCAGGAAACCGGTAGATCCTGCTCCGGCGGCCCCTAGGGGGCCCGGGATGGAGGCTGTATTGTCCGGAAGGCGCGCGCGCTGGGCGCGGGTGCGGGGTGGGGGAGGCCGGGCTGAGGCCAGCCGCTGTGCTAGGCGTGTGGCCCGACGGCTCCGACGGGACCGACATCAACTCCCTGTGCCGCTCCCACAACGAGCGCGTGGTGGCCGTGGCGGACGACTTCTGCAAAGTGCACCTCTTCCAGTACCCGTGCGCGCGCGCCAAGGTGAGGGGGCGCCCCCGGAGCGCGGCGGGGCCTGGCGCGGGCGGGGCGGGGCGGGGCCGGCTGCCTCCCGGCGCTGCAACCCGCCTTCCTCGGGGCAGGCGCCGAGCCGCATCTTCGCGGGCCACGGCAGCCACGTGACCAGCGTCCGGTTCACGCACGACGACTCGCACCTCATCTCCCTGGGCGGCAAGGACGGCAGCATCTTCCAGTGGCGAGTGCTGGGCGCCGGGGGCGCGGGGCTGGCGCCGGCCACGCCCTCACGAACTCCGTCCCTGTCGCCCGCCTCCTCCCTCGACGTCTGACGGCGGCGGGACCCAGGCCCCCAGCCTCTCCGTGCGCCCCCATCCCACCGCATCTCCCAGAACTAGAGGCCGAGCCTTCCCGCGACTTCGAGACATTCCCGAGCGCGCCTTTACCCAGAAGAGACGAATGGACCCCAGCATACACTGTACAGACCCACTGGCCGAGCCGGGCGCCCCCAGCTCGGGCCCCGACTCCAGTTGACTGCAAAGGGGGCAATAAACCAAAACTAAAGTGGCTTCCCGGGTCCTTTTGTGGGGCATGGCAGGGGCGCCTCGGGGGCCCCATGGGGGTGGAGAGGCGTGCAGGAAGGAGAAGGGAACATAGATTGACTTAGGCAAATAACAGGCACAGCTGCTAGCAAATGATCTCGTTAAGAGCCAAACCGCACACGTCTTTATTGGCCGCTGAGCTCCAGCGAGGAGAGAGTTAATGTAGGCTCCCTCCTCTCCCGCCTTCTGGGGGCGGGGCCGAGCGGCAACGGAAATCGCCGAGAACGGGCCGCGATTGGCCGCAAGGAACCGAATCTTTTCCGGAAGTAGGCCTTCTGTGAGGTCTCGCTCTCCGACCTGAGCAGAGGGCTGGGCCTTAGACTGCGGATCGCCCGAAGGTGTTCCGGGAGGGGGCTGCTCGGAGACGGGCAGGGCCAGCTTTCCGGGGGGCCCAACGTTTAGTGGGGCTCGACGAGGGCGTGGGGGAGCTGGAGCCTGGCTTCGGTCCGACCGAGCCGAACTCGTTCCGGAAGGAGCCGAGCGGACCGGCGCCGGCCTCGGAGTCGCGGGCGTGAAGCCGGAGCGGCGGCGACAGCGACAGCGCGGGCCGGGATGAACCGCGACGGCTGAAGCTCTGGAGGCGCCGGCTGCGCGGGCCCGAGCAGGAATCTCGTGAAACGCCAGTCCCGCTCTGGGGGCTTCGCTTAGACCCGCACCCCGCGCCTGCGAACCGCCGGGACCCCTTTGTGCGGCCGGAGTCGGTGGCGGGAACGGCCATGGCGGCCAACATGTACCGAGTGGGGGGTGAGTCTCCCCCGGGCGGGTGGCGTGCGGGGGATCGGGCCGAGAGGGGTTGGGGCTTTTGGGGGCGCGCGCGCCGGGGATTCAGCAGTTGGCAGCCCCGGGGACCCTCGCCTGGCGCGGCGTGGACCGGAACCGGAACCGGGCGCGAGAGTACGGGGCCCGCGGCGCTCCGAGGGCGGCGGTGGGGGGGTCCCCCGGGCCGGGGAGTGGGGCTGGGGGCCCCGAGGTGTGAGCGCCCTGCGCGGGGGAGCACCCCGGGGCTTTCTGTCCTGGTGCCCCGCCTGGGGGGAACGCCTGCTGCGTGTCTCTGCACTTCGGAGTGCAGGCTCCGACTTTGGAAGTCGGTGCGCCGGCGGAGGTGGGGAGCCCTCCCCGCTGCCTTCGTCGCGCCCCCCACCCGCGGCCACATCGCGGCGGCCCCTCCGCCTGGACCCGACCCTTCCAGGTTTTTGGTTCGCTCGGGGAGACTTTCTCCTTCCATCCTGGGGCTCTGGCGTTCCCCATCTCCGCCTCTGATCACCCCGACTTTCCCCCTCCCCCTTTACAGATTACGTTTATTTTGAGAACTCCTCCAGCAATCCTTACCTGGTTAGACGGATTGAGGAGCTCAACAAGGTGAGTGGGCAGAGGCTGGTGGGGGGGCCCCATCCCCAATGGGCTCTTTCTTCGGAGGGCTCTAACTTCGGACGGGGTCTAAGTCCTCATTCATTCATTCAGTGCATTCACGAAAGGCGGCTAATGCAGGGCTCTGTGGGGAGTTGGCGATGATTCTGTCTCTTGGGGGCAGGGGAGGGGGTTTGGAACCGGTGCTTGAATATAAGTTTCTACACGTAATTTTTTGGGCATTTCTGGGATCCTTTAGACACATGTCGTCTGTTGTGAGTCTTGTCTTTTGTGCATTTCCACCTTCACATGATTTCTTTTGATCCTAGACTGCAAACGGAAATGTGGAAGCAAAGGTGGTGTGCCTTTTCCGGCGAAGGGACATCTCCAGTAATCTCAACAGCCTGGCAGACAGTAATGCCAGTGAGTGTCCTTAACCGCCCAACCCCACACCCTTCTCCCCTTCTCGTGGTCTGGAGCCTGGGCATGCGCTTGCACATGTTTCCCTGGGATCATGCCCAAGGCAGGGGGTGAGTTTGCGGGTGGGAAAAAAAGACTGGTCTGTGGAGGGAAGCTTGTTTTTACATGTTGGGCTTGGGAGCAAGGTGGAGGGGCCGTGATAAGGAGAGCCAGAATGTGGGCTCTCTGTGATGTGATGTGGATGAGAATGTGTGTGTCTGTCTGAGAGAAAGATGATAATATTCAGATTGGCGGGGGAGGAAGCGCTTTCAGAGAGGGTGAACCCTTGGAACAGCTCTCAGTGTGGTGGGACACTGAGCGGTGACAGGAAGGTCAGGTGAGGAGGAAGAGATTGGGTTGACAAACTTGGGAGAGCAGGGAACTGGACACATGGGGGGGGTGGGGGGAGGAAGGAGCAGAGAGAGGAAGACTCAGGGAGCTTTGACCTGGACTCTCCTCTCCCATTTTTTTTCCTCCACTCGAATTTTCATTGCTCCCTTTCCTTTTGCTTTACTTGACTTCTCTTTATGTCTTTAGACATACGTGTATTTATTTGCATGTCTGTATTGCTCATCCTTCAATATCCCCGATTTTTGTCCTATTTCTTAATTGCTTTTATTTTCATTTTCTTCCATCTTGTCTCCTTTCAGGAGAATTCCCCCCTCCGTTGCCTGCTTTGGGCATGAACTGGTTAACTGAGGAGCTTGGTTTACCAAGTTCCCAGGTCCCTTTGGGGTTTCCAGCTCCATCTGGCAGGGGCTGACCTTGGCCTTGTCCAATCAGAAGGGGCGCAGGAGGTGTGGTCCCCCTTGCCTTAGCACCAGTTTCCGGAGCTTACAGGGCGGGGTGGAGCCTGCTGTCCCCCAGTCCCCCTCCCCCCAGGGTCGGGGGAACAATACACCAATGAGCCTGCGCTTAGGGCTGTCCTGCCCCGCCTCCTTTGGTTGGCTCAGAGCCAAGTTAACCCTTTCTACCAAGGGTTCAGGGCAAAGCTGCAGCTCTTTGGGGAGGAGGGTTTTGGCACTGGTTTGAAAGGGACTGTCCTTGAAAGCCCCACAAACTATGACCAGACAAGAAGAAAATGAGCAGTAGTTGTTTGGTTGCATGTGATGTTTCGGAGTCAACAATCTATTGCTATTTGAAAAGAGGAACTAGTGAGCACAAATCCTGTGTGATGTACTTTCATCCTGTTGGGTTCCTGGACCTTAGGCTGGTTTAGCAAGAGTGTGATATTCTCCCTTGGCCTGGTGTGGGCAGTGTCAGTGCTCTGTGAGAGTATCTTCACCAGCTGGGTATGGGATGTGTGCAGCTCTTCCCTCAGACCATTCATCTTGGAAAGCCAGAGTCCTCTGTAGTCGCGGAGGAGAGTGTGTTCAGAGCAAAAGCTGGTAAGGTAGGGCCATGGAAGGCAGATGCCTGCAGACTGTGAGAGAAACAGAGCTGAAATAGGAAATGCTGTCCCTGGGTTGGCATCTTGAAGGTGACTTCTTTTTGGCTTGGTTTCTGACTTGGTTTCTTCCTTAATATCCCAGGAGAGTTTGAGGAAGAATCGAAGCAGCCAGGGGTGTCAGAGCAGCAGCGGCATCAACTCAAACACCGGGAGCTTTTTCTTTCTCGTCAGTTTGAATCCTTACCGGCCACCCACATACGGTATGGGACAATCAGGATGGGGGTGGCCTGTGTGTGCTTAGGAGAAGAGGGGTTGATGTGCTGGGATGGGAACATGGGGAGCTCACTCAAGCTCTTCTGGTTGTTCTCCTACAGGGGGAAGTGCAGTGTGACACTTTTGAACGAGACCGATATCTTGAGCCAGTACCTGGAAAAGGAGGTGAGAAAGATTACTTTGGGGAAAGGGGAAGGAGGGATAGCTTTTCTGACTGAATTGTCATCAGGCACAGGGTCAGCATTCCAGCTCTGAGACACAC